CTCGTTTCATCATCTCCTTTCATCATGCATGATCATCTCGCATTGCATTATCATCTTATTTCGTCAGATTTTCCTCATCTTCTTTCGTGGTTTCAGGACTATAAATAGGCTTCCGCGTTAACTAAAAGTCAGATTGTAAGATTTATACTTTTTCCGTGTTTTCTTTATCTCGTTATTTTCTAAATAAACCGTTTTCGATTATAACCCTATAACATTCGGTAACACAAATCAAGCAATCTCTGGTGACAGCAAAGCCTTTAGAGCCACATAACAACGCCATACTTATCTCAAATGGGTCCTTCCGATTTCTGTGGAAAAAAGATTTAGGAAAAAAGTCAAAAAGATCCGTGCGGGATTCGTATTACAGTCTTTTTATACGCGAATGTCGTTGAGAAATGGTCCTTACTTTCTTACTTAAAAATTAAATTAATGTTATTAGAGCTCGGAGGCAGCATATCAGGTTACGAAGTAATTCGTCACCGTTTCATATTTACACCTCCGCTTGCCAGCTTAATAACAATAACCCGTTCTTTTGTTTTATTAGGCTTGTATACGGTGATTAGGAATTGTTTACATCTAAACTAAATACAAACAAAAACTATTCAGAAGAAGTGAAAGCAATTAAAACATCTATTTTAATAAATGAAAAGAAAAGAGATCTCCATTTGCGCATAATAGAATAATGAAATGTGATGAGATGTATGACTATAATACCAGATGATTCTGGTTTGTGCTGAAATATATGGCTTGGTGAAGAGTGATGTAAATTACTTGCTATTGTTCGATAATAATTGAATTATTGGCAACATACCGCGACGGTCGAAACTAGAAACATTGAAATAATGAATCAAGATTTGACACAGGTTTCAACTATTTTAAACGTACTAGGATTAGAAACACTAAACGAACAATCTTCGGCATTAGACGCATACGGAGAAAGTTACTCTAACATGCGAACAACAACAGAAGCAAATTTGGTTGTTGTTCCGTACGTCTATTTCTTACCAAACGACATTTCTTCGATGTTAATATTGATCTGGTTAAATATGCGCCAAAAATTGCTCCGTACAAAAATCCTGTTCGCGTAACTGTCCGTTTCGAAAGTTATTTGTCCGCTGAGATTGCGATTACTGGACTACAAGCTTCTTAGCATCTGTCTTATATTTTAGTTTGTCGGGGTCGCCCAAATGTCGGGCGCTCAAATGTCTGACGCTGAAATGGCGGGCGCTCAAATATCGGGCGTACTTCTGAATAACATTGTAAAGTAATGACGAAATACAGTATTTTGCGCGTACACCGTCTTGCACGTACAGCGTCTCAGAATAACATTTGACCACCGGAGGTCGCCCAAATGTCGGGGTCGCACGAAGTTCCTTCTTCAGTTTAAGAAACAATCATTTTTCTTAAACTGAAGAACGAAGAAGAATTCTTCCGAAACGTCTTTATATTTAATTGTATAACATTCTCAACTTCGCTCAACTGTAGGTCGCTCCAATGTCGGGATCGCTGAAATGTCGGGCGCTCAAATGTCGGACGTTGAAATGTCGGGCGCTCAAATGTCGGGGCCGGCATTTAAGCGGCCGCCAATTGGGGGCCCGCCCATTGAGCGACCCCCCCCCATCAACCGC